GATTCTCTGCACACTCTCTCTCTCTCTCTCTCTCTCTCTCTCTCTCTCTCTTTCTTTTGCTCTCTCTCTCTCTCTCTCTTATTGTAGCTCTCTCCCTCTGAATCGGTCCAGGGCTCTCTCGAACGGATCTCTTTTCCTCTGTCCCACTCACCGGGACCTCATTCTCCCCCCCCCCGGAGCCTCCCGGGGCAGCGCGCACCTGCCCCTCCGACAACTTCCAACACCTCACCCACTCGAAGCACTGTTGTGAACCAGCCGTTAACACGCGGCAACACTTACTAAACGCGAGGTGGCTCTTACTGGTTACCCCGGCGAAGGCTCCCGACGCGACGTGACGAACTCCACGGCGATCGGATGTCAACTAATCAGAGCCGCGCGACGCCGCGCGCAATTCCCCCAACGCCGGCCGTCTCCCCCTTCCCCCGAACCGCCGCCACTGCCGCCGCCGCCGCCACCGCTGCCGCCGCCGCCGCCACCGCTGCCGCTGCCACCGCCACCGCCACCGTCGGGGCCTCCGCCAGCTCTTGGGCGGGGGCAGACCACGTGGTCCGAGCGCGCTGCCCCATCGGCGCTTCTGCACCTGCGTGCGCTCGGGTGCTTTTCCGCCCAATCGAGTTTCCTCTCCTAGACACGAATTTTCACGCCAGTCTTCGGTGCGGAGTGCGATCACCTGCGTACGTTGCATTTCTTCTCCCCATACGATCTACTTGATTCCACCTCCCCCGCGTCACAATGACTTCACCCCGAGCTTTCTCTAAGGTACGCATGCTTTCCCGCTCGCCACTAAAACGATCTTTAATGATGATCTAACGGTAGTAGTATTTCAGAATTTCTTGTACCCTGTTTTCAAGGTAAATGTCAGCTTTACGGTTATAATTACGATGCTTTGTATGAACTAGCAATGTAGAATATTCGTAAACATATATATATATATTTATGTGGGTCTTCGATATTAACAAAATGACTACGTATTTTCCGAGATCACCGATAATGATTGTACTTTATTATTATTCGGATCGGTTATTTATTCTGCATAATGGTAATTTTTGCCGTACTTCGTTTTCCAGACCAATTACCAATCCAAAACTTTTTCGCTCGATACTTACGTCGTAAAATTGATTTCATACAAAAATTGGTAGCACAAAGTGCTACTATTTCTTGAGAAAGTATATATTTTTTAAAATCATTCTCACTCGCTCAAACGGAATGGACAACTCAAATGCTCCAAATGAGAATTCATCGCCTTAAGCAATTTTATTTAAAATTCTAAATATTAGCAATATCATTGTTTGAAATATTAACATTTTTATTATTATATACAGCTTTCTATAGAAAGTTTCTTATTTTTTGGATAAAACACTCTTGATTTTTATAACGTATTTTTTTCATTGTCCGATTGTATGAATTACGTTCCAAATATTTTGCCTAAAATATCTTATGTATTTTTTAACAAAGTACATATTTATTTATAATTATTAACATATTGAGCATTAGTCTCTAGTTTTTTAACGAAATAATCTCAATTATGTTCATCAATTCTAAAATAAAAAATTATATTGTTAGAATTGATAATTGAAACTATATCATACTACTAATAAACACAATTAATACTTACATAAATACCGTTCTGCCATGAACATTATCCAGAAACATTATGTACAGGGAAAAATTATTTTTATTTTATACGAATATAAAGCTTTATGAAAACATACCTATATTTTTATATAATAACGATTCGAATTGAAAACGAAATTAATTCAGCTGTGAAAGAAAAAGAGTAAAAATATTTCAAATACAACTACATCTGGTTGAAATAATTATTAGTTTAACTGCGTGGAAAGTATAATTTTACCATCACACATTTTTTAAGTACCAGTGCTAAATATTTTTCAAAATAATTGTAATTAAAATGCCAGTGTAACATCATGCAAGCCATATAGAGAGGAATCTATTAACGTTCAATTGATATTTAATCTGTATACTGTATCAAAGCTTCATAATAATTTGACATTCGTTTTTATCAGTTACATAAAATAAAGGCAGTTTAATAATTACGTGCATTTGAATTTCAATATTTGCTTAAAAATTCAACGACATATTGTACATATTGTACATATTGTACATATTGTACATATTGTGCATGTGACCTTGAAATTTTACATGAAAAAATTTTCATACAAGCTCTGAGCACAATAGACTATATCTTGCTTACTTTTTCTTTGAAAAATTTATGTTCCTCAATAAAATTACTTTCTTATTAAAACATAAAAATTATAAATTCATTTACTTAAAATACCCTCCAGTAAAATTTCATTCGCTAATGTAAATATTTATAAAGTATCTACACTGCAATATCTTTCACGTTTTAATCGAACTAGTACCATTTTTATTCTATTAATTCAATTTTAATTCTCATTAAAATAAATACAATCTTTTAATTTCTATATATTTAAATTATGCATTCGAAAATGTTTCTTCTACGTTAAGAATAATTTGCATAAATTCACTATAACCTTTATTACTTAATAGTGAGCATAAATAGCATTAAGTAAATTTATTGTTTGCGTCGCTGATTGTAATATACATCAATATAAGACTATAAATGATATACAAATATAATGAGGTACAAATATATAACGTGCTCATTAACCTTTTTTTATTAATTAAACATTAAATTTTAAGAAGACAGGTGAAACGAAGGTTGTTCAAAATTTATTTCATTTTCAATTTCTAATTTTTGCAAATTAAAATTTTGTTTAATAAATTAAACTATATAAATATTAAATACGTAAATTTCAATGTCATCAGATGAAAATTAGTTTTAATTAATTTGAATAAAACTTATCAAAACCCTTGTATTTCAATAGTAAAAAAGAATAAAATAATATATATATATATATATATATATACAATGTCGTTATACCTTATTTTTATGTTTTCAAAAACATCAATAAACTAAAATATGTTAATCGTAAAATAATAATACTTCGACACAAAGCGATTAAGGAGTTATAAATAAAAGAGCTCGGAGTAACTAGTAGAAAATTAAAATATATCATATATATTTTTTTAACTACGTCAGAACAAAAGTTTAAATACTTAAAGAAAGCAGCTTGAATTGTAAGGAACTTGAATTCTTTTTATCAATCCTTTAAAAGAAACTTACTGGCATTCATACCTGAAATATTCCAAATCTTGTAAATTATGTTAAAAAAGTAGACGTAATTGAAACCGAAACATTCTCCCTTAGAGGAATCTTACTACATTCCTTTAAGAGGTGTATTTTGTTTTATTTTTGTTGAAACAAGTTCACTTAAAAACCTGTTTTTGGTTCCAGAAAATATTTGTCACGTTTTCAAGAAATATTACATTAATTTTTAACTGGAATTTTACGCTATTTATCCGGAGTTTTGTTACAATCAAATATTTTTTAATATTTCCTTTTTTAACAAATATTTTACCAAGTGCTCTTTGTACTTGTTTTTTATTTTTTTTTTATAACACATATGTTTAAATGTAAATGTTTGAAAGATTAAATATTTTTCTTCTAATAATTACGATTGTTAATGTATCAATTATATAACTGGTTATTTATGTAAATATTTATGTAAGAAAAACATTTTTCAAACAAAAAAATACAAGGCTTAATAGAATATCTGATTATGGATATTTAAAAATTAAGATTAATAAATAGTTATATCTCAATCTGAAACTTTACACCTAAGATTTACAAAATTATTTATTGCTCGTATTGTTTGAAGGATTTTTTAGCTTTATATCGAATATTTCAAACATCGTAAAATGGAGGTAAAATTTAAAGGTTATTTTAGTTTTCAATCGTAGTACTTAATTCTATTAATAATTGAAGTATTGTGGAGAAAAAAATGTTGTTATCGCCATGCCAATTATTAATGCAAGTTTCCTAAACGAAATCTTTTAGTATTTGAAGTAGAAATTGATTCATCGCCGCTATTAAAATGTGTTCAAAATGTCTTCTACAAATTCTACTTTGGCAATACATAAAACAAAAAATGAATTGAAATGGCATAAATAGATGATTAAAGAATTATCGGTTAAACGTTTAATAAATAAATGTACGTATTAAAATAATATTAGTGAAAATAAAATCATTTAATTTGTACATTATATGAATACATTAATGGCTTCGTTTTTATTTACATACTAAAATTGAAATTATTTTTGCGTGCCAAATTTCGAATATAACTGTCGTGTAAAAATTGAAAGAAAAAAAACCTGGCGCTGAAAACAATAAATGATTTCTTATAATATTTATCAATCAATAAAATTACATCACCTATACATATTATATACAGTTTTCAATATGTATATTATACATAAGCCATTAATATTTTCATAACATTTTTGCTTCACAAATAATTGCGCGCAATGAAATTTTGATAAATTACTTTAGAATTTAATTATGGGCTATACGCACGATTTGCATAAGCAAATTGACGTGTAAAATAAAACCGTCCTAGTATATTTCGCACGCTTATGCAGCTGCTTATTGGTATTCATGCATATGTACACGCCCGCGGACACTGGTGTGCGCAACTTCATACTTAGCCACGTTCACGGATTACGAGCGAGCGCCTATGACTTTTTAGAGAAAAGGCGCGCGCCTGCACGATTATTTATGCAAACAACTTTGTTTTAACGCAAAACAGCACGCAATTATTTAAATACCTTTGTCTTTTCTCCCTCCAAGCGCGGCGCACTCCCTTCCCCCAACTCATTGTTATCCGCGTATTATATGCGACCCAGACGTGTCCGGAAGCTCCCTTCGGCAAATTAAAGGAAGGAGCAAGGCTTCTCTCCACCCACCCCGACGCACCTTCGATTTTATTTTTATCTCGAAGCACCTTCTCTTTCCAGGAGTTTTTGTATGCGTGCTCGCAGACGCGGCTGACAGAGGGAAAGAAAAGAAGAGTTTATCACTTTCCTGCCTTGCGCCGATGTGTT